AAACATACGTAGACCGGTGCTAACCTGGCTTATTGGGTACTCTGCCTCTGACCCAGCCCCTACATTTTAAAAATTCTTGTGAAAATCCCTGACCAGAATGTTGAGTAAATTAACCTCTGAAATAAACTCAGAATTGGTAAGACCAGCACAAAAAATACATTTTACCCTATCTTGTTGAAGAACTGGTTACCAGCATGATGCCACATTCCCACTGAATACTTCATTGTGTATATTTTCTATAAAAACAAATATTCTCCTATGGTGTTCTGTCAGTTTCAGAGTCTGTGATGCTAGAAGCTATGCCACTGTTATTTCAGACACCAGCGGGGTCACTCATAATGGGCGGGGTCACTTGTAGAGGGTTGTCCAGACCGAAACAGACTAGGAAGAAAGGCCTGGTGAACTACTTCTGAAGATCAACCTTTAAAGCCTCGACCTATAGCCATGAAACTCAGGAGGTTACGTCGTTGCCGGGTGCTGTAGCGTCGCACACCAGAATGAAGCACTGTCTAGTCTTGTACCGTCCTTACAATGGTTGTTTTCTGTGAGACCATTGTTGCAGCCACGGAGTGAGTCTACCTCATTAAGGGTCTTCCTCTTTTTTAGGTGGAAACTACATTGAGGGGTTTCCTCGACTCTTCTGCCCCTTTCCAAAGACTGATCTCTCCCGATAACGTGTCTGGAGTATGTGAGATGATGCCTTGCCATCCTTGCTTCTAGCGAGTATTCTGACTATATTTCTTCCAAGACTGATTTGTTCATTTTTCTGGCAGTCCATGCAATGTTTAATATTCCTCACCAACACCGTAATTCAAATGCAGCAGTTTCTCTTCCGTCTTCTCATTCAGAGTTCAGCTTTTAAATGCATAGGAGGTGGTTGACATGCCTGGTGAGCTTTAGTCACGAGCATCTTCGCCCTCAAAGAGACAGTTTGGCCCTTTAACACTTTAAAGAGGTCCTATGCGGTAGGTCTGTTCAGTGCAACACGTCATTTGATTTCTTGAGCATTGATTGTGAAAACTTCATTTTTTTCTCTGTTTATTAGTGTTGATCTAGCACTACCACCTAATCCTCAAACTCTACTCAAGTTTTGCCAAATATCCCCCCATAAAGTGCTCTACAGAGAAGGCTCCTATTCCATTCTGCCCTCACACACCAGACCTTGGACCTTTCCTGGACTTTCAGGAACTTGACATCTTGGGAGAGGGTAGGCTGATGACTGTGTAGACTGTTCCTCATTATGCACGTCGGCAGAAGTGTCACAGCGCGGCCCTTACGCTCTCTTCATGAGAACACTCTCAAGCCCTGATGGGCTGGGACCTCTTCAGGCGGTCTTCTGCTTCATTTTCAGGTGGAATTTAGGCAAAACGTATAATATCGTTTTGGGGTCTGGACAAGTGGTGTTGGGAATGGATATGGGTCTCCGACAGATGTGCGTTGGAGAGAAACGAACGGTGATCATCCCGCCCCACCTGGGCTACGGGGAGGCTGGAGTAGGTGAGTAAGAAGCAGGACCCACGGTGTTGGGACGCTTTCACCATCTGAATGTTGTCCTGTTTGAGGGACC